GCCAGCCGCCCGAAGAAGGTCTTATGTGCGAGCTCCTGTGGTCCGATCCCCAACAGTGGGCGGGCCGGGGGCCGTCCAAACGAGGTGTGGGCATCCAGTTTGGGCCGGACGTTACAGAGACGTTCTGCCAGAACAACAACCTGGACTACATCATACGAAGTCACGAGGTCAAGGATATGGGCTACGAAGTGGCTCACAACGGCAAATGCATAACAGTCTTCTCAGCTCCGAACTATTGGTAAGATTAGTCAGTTAACCAGTGGAATACCATGTGATTGTTGATCTTTTTGCAGTGATACTATGGGCAACATGGGTGCATTTATTACCATTACGGGTAACAATTTGAAACCAAATTACAAATCATTCGAGGCTGCGGTAAGTAGAGCAATATGGTACCTTTTAAGCCAACTTATAATCGCCATCGTTTCAGCCACATCCCGACGTCAAGCCCATGGCCTATGCCAACAGCCTTATGAACTGGCTGGCGTAGTCAGTTTTCAATTAACTTCAAAAGCTAAACGCATACTCCCACACACCACATACAAATTTACAAACAGCTTGAGAACCCACAACCGCAGAGCAGCCCAGCTTTAAACGATCAAAGGAGAGTCAAAGGATTCTGAGATGCTCAATAGACTTTATGCACACTGCGAGCTGCTTCACTACTTAAGTACGAGTATTGCGAGTCAATAAAGCGCAGGACGAGAGGACGGCGCGGAAAGGATAAGGATCACAAATAGAGAACAGCAATCATTTTATAAATTCAGCTATATTTGATACAGAACGAAATGTTATAGTGTATAGTGGCTTTAGAAGTCGGATGCTAAGTTTTATCGGTGCCAAGCATCTGCGGTTCCAATTGTAAGTGAAATTGAAAGAAAATGTTTGTTTATGCATAGCATTTAGTTATGGCTACCAAAACATAATATACGAGTACATATATAAAATTCTACTTCAATTTTGTTTGTTCCGAACGCTTAATTTGTGTATAAAAACAGTTTTGTTCAACCCTTGCCTTGTTTATACTATAAAAGTCATTTTTAATAAAACTATTCAAGTTAGATACCTCAATAATAATCCTCAAATTTTTTCAATCCAAAAACTATTGCATACTCTACTGATATAAGTAACACTGATCAAAGTATCCGATAATGCATAAAAAGACAACTAGCATTAGAGCCTGTAATATTAATCGAGTGAACAGAAATCAGAATAGAGCAATTGAGAAATAATAAAAACGGTCTGTTTTTTATTAATCAAGGTCGAGTCCACTTGCTATGCTGAAGCCCATGACCCCGAAGATCTGGCTAACATTAGCCTGGTAATCCTTGAGATGGGCCCGCTGCAGAAGCGTCACATAGACGAATGGTCCATTGTAAGTTGCCATGCGGTGGAAAAAATCCCTGGCCGGTGTCTGCAGTTCTTGCGGTTGGGCCTGCGACAGGTATAGCACCACCACGGTCATCAGGTCGTGCAGATGTTTTCCCTCTATCTGCAGGCCGAGTATGAAGTCCGCCAAGCTCTTTAAGAGCTTCAGCTGCAATTTGTACTCCTGAGTCTGGGCTTTTGGGGTTTCCGTACTGCTGTGAAGGCTAGCTGCCTTAAGGAACTGCTTCAACTGGGGTATCACATCGCTTAAAAGGATACAACCAAAAGATGAAAAAAGCTGCAGTTGTTTTTTAAACAACGACTTACCTGAGACTTCGTTTCAGTATAAAGTCCTTGGCATGAACGCCCAGCAAGTGCAGCAAGGTGAAGCATCGGTTTAGCACCAGTGCGTCTTTCTGCCGGAACTTTTCGACAAGTGGTTGCCACACTAGATGCACCAGAGGCAGAAGCTCGTTCTCATAGTCCGCCAGCAGTGGCATGCCACTGGAGAAGCATTCGAGAGCGGCGATTGCTGCGCCTGAGTATCGGTGGAGATGAACTTGATTACTTGACCCAGTATATCCTTAACCATTTCCACGTGGCGCGGTAGAACGGCTTCGTGGGTTCCGGTTCCGTGTCATCTGCCTCTTCGGCCTTTTCCTGAGTTGGCTCCTCGGTCATGTCTGCGTCGCCATTAAGGTCTTCCAGTAACTGCGGCCTCTTGAGCACATTCACCCACGTGGTTAGGACACTCTGCTCTTCATCCACTTGCATTGGCAGCTCTGCATTGACCTCTGCAGCAGCATCTACTTGCCAAGAGGAAACATGATTTAGGAATGCCTTGAATACGCGCAGATAGGAGTGAACATTGGTTGACTGATGCGATTTGGAGCACTCCTCACGTATGGTCTGGAATAAGCTGTCCAGGTGGGGCACATTGCCCCTTGTGCTGTATTGCAGCACCACTGTTAGAATATCCACTGCCGCGGTGCTATCCGGCGACCGTTTCAACAAAGCGTTTAGGTGGAAAGTGATGTAGTCCGTGGAGCACTCTATGAAGTGTGAGGGTTCCGCGTATCTTAGGGCTAACTGCATGGAAATGAACGCGAAACTGGCCGCCTGGTGGACAATGGTGTTACTGCTGGCTACCTTGAGCAGCACTTTGTGTAGACTCAAGAATATATGCCTGTCAAATGTGTCGCCAATGAACCTGGCACAGTGACCCACTGCATCCAAAATTAAGCAGGTGTGCAGCACATTGAACTGGGCGTCTGCAATGGTACCCGACTGGCAACCGCCTCTGTCTGTTCGTCGTCGGAATCACAGTCTTGGGTGCGCACCTCTACTGCCGATGAATAGAGGCCAGGAGTGCGTTCCTCAAACCAATGGGTGGGCTAAATAAAAATTATTGGTGTGTACATGGAGAATTCATTTGGACAGCCCGCATTTACATACCTTGCTGACCTTAAGGCGCCAAGCTGAATCCGGCTGAAGCGCGAGGTTCCAATGGTCGTCGCGAAGGATTGGTCCAGGAAAAGATTAGCCAGTACCAATCGACTTTCGCGAGCCTTTTTTCCTGGGGCGTGACCATCAGAGTTAGAAGCAGCACACACTCGTTCATGGAGGACGACCTCTGCTCAATAAGCTCTTGGCAATGATCGAAGATAAGCCGATTTAGAGAAGGCTGAGCCCCCAACATGGCTCCAATATCATATAGGATATCGACAGTGCGCTTAGAGGCGAGATACTTAAACTGGCGCCAAGGCAGCTTGGCCAATTCGGCGGCTAGGCCTTTGGAATCGCCTTCTCGAATACGACGGAGGGAGTATTCCTCGTTCAGGAGATCCCTGGTGGGTCGTGGTCAAGAGCTGTCAGCAGACAGGTGACGAACATCTCCAGGTTTTTGGGGACCAGCAGCAACAGCTGCAGCTTATCGGCATTGACGTTGCGCAGGAATCCTTTGAAAAATAGTAGCTCTGCGAACTGTTCGTTGTCCTCGCCGCGATGCAGGATGCGGGGCCATTTGTTAAGATGTGCGTCCAACAGCATTTCGGCATTCTCGTCGAAGATGCCCTGGCTACTGGGCTGTTGTTGCAAAAGAACCAGGGTTTCCCTGCACCGCAGGGCTATCTTTCATTCTCGTCCTCTGACAGGCCAGCACACTCTCCAGCACATGGACAAAGTTACCCCTTAGATTGTGGGCACAATGCTTGAGCAGAAGGCAGCACATGTCGGCGTAGTTTTCCCTTACCCTCAGGGCACTGTGTGCCCTTAGAATACTCGTCTCCACAAAGATTGGCCGGAGACGGCGGACGTGGCCGCCACCCAATGGATTGATCGAGGCTCAGTTTGCATTTGATGCAGTCGCTCCTCATTCTGTTCGGATGTGGCCTTTTTGCTGCCAAAAAAGGTGAAATCACATTTCTCCGCCATATTGTCTGTGGAGTTATTGAACAGGTTTCGGAACGCTCTACATCATAGCGCATTTTTATGAACTCCTCAGTGGTTTCCTCGAACATGATGCAGATGATGCGTCCCAGGGCTTGAATGGCCATCTAAATAAAATAATTTTACATCACTACAGATGTTTCCTTAGAGGTTTAAGAGCAACTCACCGATTTAATGGTCTCGCCCACCTTGTCGTCTTTATTGATGTTTTAAACAGCACAATAAGGACCTTGGGGAGGAAAATGAATATGGTATCGGCTACCTGACTGCGCAGTACCACATCCGCTTGATCCGAATCGTCATGAACGTAGAAAACCACCAGTAGACATTCAATGGCAATCTGGACGAGTTTTCGATACTTTTCCTGCTCTATGATCTCCAGGAGCATGAGCAGTATCTGTCCAACGACCATCGCCGTCTCCTTGACGTAGAAAGACTCTAGCACATCGGTGGTGGAACGACGCAGTGCCTCGAAGATGCACTTGATGGCAGCCAGCTTGATTTCCTCGGAGAGATTGGGTCGCATGACGGCCGACTTCGAGTCGCGTACTTGTTGCAGCACCACAACCACGATAGAGCGCAGACCCTTCTCATCCGCCAGGTAAGTTTGGGATATAATGCTGCTGAGGCAGTTCATCAAACTGGTGCGCAGCTCCTGGTTTTCCCTACATATGGAATGGATGATCTTAGGCGAAGTCCTATTTGGCATATAGAACCACTTACCCGGTTAGCTCGTCCAGTTTGATGACCAGTGGACCACCGTTTGCACCTGGTAAATGCGCATTTCCCCAAAGTTGAATCCCTCGATCTCTCGCTCCACCTGGGACAGTGTGTCCTTGCTGGGCTCCTTGATGAACCCCTCCACTGCGGGTTTCACCTTCATCACATACCGCTCCAGATGCATCATCTTAGCAGCATGTACTAAATATACTTAATTATCCAAGTAGAAACAAAACAGCGCCGAAACGAAACCCGGCAAAATCTGCAAAGGAATTTTGAACTAACAGCTGTTTCGGCAGTCACATGCAAACGCGCGCAAATGACACCCTCCCATCCACCACCCCCTACCGCTATCGAAAACTATCGATTTTTTGAATTGCGCGCCATACCACCTACACTTTTCCGTTTCTTTTTATATATTATCTCTGACAAAATTTTAAATTTAAATATTGTAAGTTGCCAAATGAAATGAAATTCTTATATTTTAATACGACGAAGATCATATATTAACATTATCAGATCAAATACTATTTAAGGCTGGCTAAATTTTTGATCTAGCTGTAGAACTCGTGTTGAGTCTCGTCCTTGCGCACGCTGGTCTTGTAACCCTTCTCGAAATCCTTGGCGTTGACCACATAACGATTCTCTCGCACCGCATGCATTCCTGCCTCCTGGCAAATGGCATTGATGTCGGCATTGGAGATCTTGTCGGGACGAGCGATTATATCCTCCAGGTCAACATCCTCGCCCACATTCATTTTCGAGGTGATTGTGGTGAAAACCAGGCGTTTCTGGCGACGATCCGGCAATGGGAACTCTATCTTGCGATCCAAACGCCGGGACGCAGTAGAGCTGGATCCAAGGTATCGGCACGGTTGGTGGCCATGATAACCTTAATGTTGGTGGTCTCATCAAAGCCATCCATCTGGTTGAGCAGCTCCAGTAGAATGCGCTGCACCTCGCGATCCGCCCCAGTCTGGGCATCAAAACGCTTAGTGGCAATGGCGTCGATTTCATCGATGAAGATGACCGAAGGAGCATTCTGCTTGGCCAGGCGGAAAAGATCCCTGACCATGCGCGGCCCCTCGCCCAAGTATTTCTGGACGAACTCGGAGCCCACAACGCGTATGAAAGAGGCTGTGGTGTGATGGGCCACCGCCTTCGCCAGCATGGTCTTGCCGCATCCAGGAGGCCCAAAAAGCAGCACACCACGCGGCGGATCAATGCCTGAAAAGGGATCCTTATAATAAGGGAAAACCATTAAAAGTGAGTAAAAGCCTACCAATTTGCTTGTACAACTGGGCATGCGTAAGGGGCAGCTCCACGGCCTCGCGAATCTCTTGTTTCTGCATGTCCAAGCCCCCGATGTCCGAGTAGTTTACATCAGGCCTCTCCTCCGGCGTTAGCATCGATATGGTGCTGTCAGCCTCCGGCGGTACCAAGTCCACCAGGCAATTGCTCTGCTTGTGGAGCGCCACCGAGGAGGAGGGCTTCAGTTGCTCCCTGTCTATGGTGGACAGGACGCGAACGTAGTAATTGGATCCGGTGGTGGAGGCTACTATGCCATTGTTCTCGTCCACCGCCTCCAGGAACTGCCCAATGACCAATGGAACGGCCTTTATGCGCTTCACCTCCTCTTGGGCGTGGATGAACTCCTTCTTCAGGTTGCGCTGCTCCTCCTTGATGTAATCCTCCTGCACCTGGATGAGCTCCAGTTCCATCTGGAGCTTCTTGTACAGCACATACAGATCATTCGGGTCGAGACCCTCGTATTTCTGCAGTGATTTCTGGTGAAATTGAGCAATTTCTTCTTTAAGCAAACGCATTTTCGTCTTGTCCCTGCAAAGTTTCGGAAGAAAAGAGAATGACTTGAATTTTCAAAAGCTAAATCAGGGTAGAGTTGAAGAGTTATCGACAACAGCTTGCTGAATAGCCTTTCACATAGGCGTAGGTAGGTACATTTTCAAAGGGGACAAAATATATTCTAAATAAAATTGTACTTCAAAATTTTAGAAGTTATTTTAATAGAAAAAAATCGTATAAAAAAACAACTATTTTGAAACAGTTAACGATAACAGCTACCTAACAGCATTCTGACATTGGGGCGTAGGTAATTCACATATAGAAGGGAATACAATTAATTGTAAAATTGTAAAAGAGTAGATGGACATAAGCTGAAAAAGGTTTCACATTAAATAAATTATGATAGGAAAACTTTTGTCACTTTCCAACTTTTGCGTTATCATGTGAATGGCAATCAGCTGTCGCGCCGACCTGTTGTTTTTCTTGCTCTTCCTTTTTTGTTGTTGCTGCCTCCGACGTGGAGCGATCTATTTATATATCTATTTTGGTTTATTTTGGAACCACATATTCTCTTCGGCATAGGAAACATACTTATATGCTTAAACATTTGACTTTCTGTGAAACGGTTAAGCATTTCATCAAAGAAAGGTGGCCAAATACCTCATACGTTGTGCAACGCCGGCTGGGATTAGAGGATTGACGTTGGATTGCAGCGGCAAGACCAAGATATATAGATTTTCCAACGTCCAAGAACATATAGAAATCGGTGTCAACACAAATATGGCCATTATGTAACGCACCGATTCCTGCTCCAGCATATTTAGCACACTAGCGACACCCAAAGACCGGATCACCATGGACCTCCTGGTTTTTCTCACGGCGGCGGCCCATCTGGTCTACACGCCCTTTACCAAAGTTGAGGAGAGCTTCAATCTGCAGGCCATGCACGACATTCTGTATCTGCGCAACAACTTTACGCAGGTGCGAGCTTTGGGTTCTATTAATGAGTCAGCTTACTAATCCTCTTCTGCTTTTCAGTACGATCACCATGACTATCCGGGCGTAGTGCCCCGCACCTTCATCGGCCCGCTGGTGGTGTCAATGATCTCCGCCCCGTTCGTTCTGCTCTTCGAGACTCTGAGCATCAACAAGTTCTGGGCCCAATATGTAGGTAAAAACAGCTTTTCCACTGGTAATTCTGGAATATTCAAATGAATCTGATCCCTTAGTGCGTCTTGTCCTGGCTGGAGCCATCTCGGTGGCCTGGTGCAACCTGCGGCAGGCTGTGACCAAGATTTACGGCGTTGAAGTGCGTCTGTGGTTCACAGCCATCACCATCTCGCAGTTCCACTTCATGTTCTACATGACGCGGCCCCTGCCGAACATCTTTGCCCTGCCCATTGGTAAATGTCAAAGATTATCTCTGCAATGTATTTTATTTAAATGTTTTAATATTTGCAGTGCTCTTTGCCATCGCCTATTGGCTGCGCGACCAGCACAAGCCATTCATCATCTGCTCTGGCATATCCATCCTAGTCTTTCGCTCCGAGTTGGCACTATTTTTGGGACTTCTGCTGCTCGTGAGCCTCCTGCAGCGCAAATTCTCCATTGACGGGTGAGGTGATCAATTATAACATACTATTTAATACTAATTTGTTTGTTTATAGCCTGCTCAAGATTGCTCTGCCGGCGGGCGTCTGCATTTTGGCCGCAACAGTCCTGGTGGACTCCTTCTTTTGGCGCCGCCTGCTCTGGCCCGAGGGGGAGGTGCTCTGGTACAACACTGTACTTAACAAGAGCTCCAATTGGGGCACTTCGCCCTTCCTCTGGTACTTCTATTCTGCCCTGCCACGAGCCATGGGTGCATCGTTGGTGCTTGTGCCCATCGGCCTCACTCTGGAGCCACGGATTCGTCCGCTGGCGTTGTCAGCTCTGCTCTTTGTCCTGATGTACTCTATCCTGCCCCACAAGGAGCTGCGATTCATCATCTACGTGTTGCCAGTTCTCAATATTGCAGCAGCTTGCGGCTGCCAGCGCATGTGAGTTTTTTATAGTTAAACTCATTAGATTAAAGTGGTTAAAATATCTTTTGTTATCCTCTCCAGTTGGATGAACAGCGCTAAGTCGAATTGGCATAGCTTCCTGGCTCTTGCCTGCGGAGCTCACCTACTGTTGAATGTCGTGATGACAATCTTTTTGCTCGTCATTTCGGGCACTAACTACCCAGGCGGAGCTGCCCTTTCCCGCTTGCATCGCTTGGAGAATGGCTCTCCAAATGTGTCCGTGCACATTTCCAACTTGGCCGCCCAGAGTGGGGTCTCCCGTTTTATGGAAATAAATGATGAGTGGACGTACAGCAAGGACGAGTCCATGAACTACACCCAAGCGGATCTGGAGTTGTACACCCATCTCTTGGTGGAGGCGAAAAACAAACAGAACACGGAAATATGGGCCTCTCTGCAAAACGATTTCGATACTCTGGAGTTTGTCGACTGTTTCAACAGCATTGGTATCCAATACAATTCATTGCTGCCGGTGCGAGTTAAGACCAAGCCTTGCATTGGAATACTTAAGAAAAAGGCACAGCCTCCAAAGGAAAAGTCGAAATCTAAGGAGAAAAAGATTAAAACCAAGGCGCCTGCAGTTGAGAAAGTAACTGCCCTGCCTACCGTTGAAGATATACCAAAGATAAAACAAGAAACGAAAATCAAACCGACGCTTCAAGCAGATCTCGATGATGACGATGGCATAGTGGCAACTGTGGAGGAGATGTCCCTAGAACTGGAAACGAATATTGAACCTGAATCTGAGGCTGAGGCAGAAGCGGTAGAAACGCCCACCAAGGAGATAAACTTCCATGAGCTGCGGACCCTCGCCTTGGGACAGTCGACCAAAAAATCACGAGCAGCTACCAAGCTGAAAATACGAAAGATCATCGAGCAGCACTACCGAGCCAAGGGCAAACAAATCGAAAACGACTCCGCGGAGCAGAATCAAAAAACCCCAGGATCCCCCGGCGGACGACCAGGATTAAGACAGTCTGTAAAATCCATCATTAAGCAGGAGAAGATCAAGGAAATGATCGAGCAGATAGCAACGATGGACCTCACACGCATCTGCGATTTGGAAAAGACATCGACAAAGGACTGTTTGAAACAAGTCATTGACAAAATAGATGATAGCGAAGGCTTGAAAACCAAATGACAAAACATAAAATATTTTTGAATGTTTTTTAAATTAAAAGATGAGTTTGTAAAAAGAAAACTAATAAAAAACACAGTAATTTTTTAAATACATTATTATTATTATTTTCTTTACTGTTTTATATTATTACAAATAAACGATTTTTAACATAAGATTGCCTATTCAAACTATATCTTTTAGAGAATTTTGAATTTCCCGCCAAATTTTACAGGCTTTTCACGGAAATGAAAAAAAAAAACACTTCTTTATTATTTAGTTATAATTATACCAAGGCAATATTAGAACGCCAAATTTGAGTCAACAGCAGTTTCTTATTTTCTAAAAAATAAACTAAAAACACTTTAACATTTCTGCGTGACTCGTGTTTATGTATAATTATTGCCCATCTCTAACGTGAACGCAACATTTAAATTAACAGTGCAGTACAAACAAACCTATTTTTTCGGCATTCAAATCCAAATTACAAATTCCCAGAAGCTGTTATCTATTTTATAAGGTGTGATAAGCCGGCAATTGCAGATTGCGCCGCATGCGCATCACCCAAACCCTTGTAATTGGGTTTTTATCGCCGGGAAAACTCCCACGTAAACAGCACCACCCACAATCATATGTTCTCTTATCACCTTCAGGTTGACCTCAGTCGAAGTGCAGAGCTCAGAGGAAAAACAGTGCGCGGAAATGGAGCTGACTGGATGGGTGAAAAACTACGAGTGGGGCCGCAGGGGCATCAACTCGGCGGTGGCCCAACTGGCCATGGCCAATGATCCGGACTTCCGGCTGAACGAGGAGGAGCCCTACGCGGAGATGTGGATGGGCACGCATGTGTGTGGCGTCTCGGTGGTCAAGGAAACGGGGGAGACCCTGGACCGGGTGCTGAAAAAGGACCTCTCCTACCTCTTCAAAGTGCTGAGCATCAACAAGGCTCTCAGCATCCAGGTGCATCCCAACAAGTGCGAGGCGGAGCGGCTGCACAAGGAGCGCCCGGAGATCTACAAGGATCCCAACCACAAGCCGGAGCTGGCCATTGCCCTTACACCCTTCCTGGCCCTGGTGGGCTTCCTGCCAGCCAGTGACATCCGAGACTACATCGACGAGTTCCAGCCCCTAAGTAAATTGATTGGCGCCGAGGCTGTGGATCAGCTCCACGAGTCACCCGATGGGCAGAGCGTTAAGCTGTGCTATGAAAAGCTGATGAAAACGGAGGAGTCGGTGATAGCCAAGTGCATTAATGAAATAGCCAAGAATTACCAGAAGGGTGAGCCAATCTGGGTAATCATCTCCTTGTAAACCCCTCTAAACCCTCTTTTCACACAGAACTAAAGTCCAACGATTTGCTCGAAGTGTTCACCAAGATCAACCAGGACTTCCCCGGCGACGTGGGCGTGCTGTCGCTGTTCTTCCTCAACCTGATTCGCCTGAAGCCCGGCCAAGCCATTTACCTGGGCGCCAACGAGATCCACGCCTACCTGGACGGCGACTGCATAGAGTGCATGGCCTGTTCGGACAATGTGATACGCGCAGGCCTCACTCCCAAGTACAAGGACGTGGACCAACTGCTGAACTCTGTGATCTTCGACAGCGCCGAAAATGAACACAAGACCTTCATTCCGTACCGCATCGATGAGCAGGTCCAGGTGTATATTCCTCCAGTGTCGGACTTCGCTGTGATTAGTGTCAACATTGACCACTCTCTGGAATCTTACAAGCTGGCAATTCAAGCCTTTGGCTCCATACTGATCGTCCTAAAGGGATCCCGCACCCTGAATCTGAAAACCCAGCAGGGAGACAAGGAGATTTTGTTGACTCGCGGCAGCATTGTGTACATTCCCGTCGAGGCGGCGCCGGAAATCGAGTTTGCCCAGTCCGAAGATTGCGACGAAGACTTCACCGGGTACATAGCAACCAGCAATTACTTTCGAGTGCCCTAAATTTCTCACTTAGCCTTAATCTTTTGTAAAGTGCAATAAATCCATAATCACACTCTCATTGCTGGTGAATTAATTTATTTTCAAATAATTGCAATTTAAGAGCTAAGAATGTAAGCTAGAGTGGCAATAGTAGCGATAAATAAGTTATCTAATCAATTGGCTATACTCGTCCGTAATACATTTAATAGTTAACGAGAAATATCTTGCGCACAAACAGGTAGTTTCTTAAACATTTGGGATTATTGCAATCAACAATTTCATGTACTTAAGCTACAGCTACGAAACTCGATCGGTTACATTCACTGGGGATTTAGTACGTATGGGTAAATATAATAAGCAATAGGTTCGAGTGCAAATCTAGAGTAATTATAATTCAATAGAATCGGTGCTTGGACTTTTGGGCTTTCGAAATACCCGAATACATGGCCTACTTAAAATGGGTTAACAATGGAGAACATAAAATTGGCTACGATATGGTTACCGCCCGTCTTTGCTTACTTTTGCTTGGCCGTGGCCCGGGGGTGCGGTGGTTCTACGAATTGTAAATACATCAATTCACATATATCCATCTCAGCAGTTGCTTGGTTTGATTTCACAAAGTTCGGTAAAATGCTCAAAAAGTTTGTACCACAAAAACAGAGTACATCATACGGTAAATCTCATAATAAAATTGTTTCCGGCAACTTGTGGTCGCCATTTGTACACGAGTGTAGTAATAGTAAGTAGTTAGTATGTTGGTTCGCATATATATAGAGTTTTGTAGAAAGTAGTTAGTTCATCCGGCGGCGTAGCTCGTAGTGCTTTTAAGTAGATGGGTGGGTACCTGTTACGCTTGCGTCTGCCAGGAGTAGATACTGGTGGCTACTTGTATATGTATATAATATATGGTATATAGTAAATAACGCAATAACCACCTGCTACGGTTTGTGCCCACAACATTGGTTCGTTTCCCTAACAAGATAGAAGCGGAGGTGCCTGTCTATCGTGTTCGCTATCGATTCGGGACGTGTCCTTTGTGCATATTTAACTCTTGAGCAGGTTGTTGGCGCGCTTGTTCACCCCGTCCATGCGAATGTTGTTGGCATCGCCCTTGGCGTTGATGCGGTCCACCTGTTTGTTCTGGTTCTCCAGCTCGGAGCCCATGTCCAGGGCCATGTTTCGCAAGTTGCCCAGCATGGAGTTGACCTGTCCCAGGTTCTCGTCCATCTCGTCCTCGCGCGCATCGTTCGTGATCCTGGCCACATAGCCGGACTGCGGTGGAGCACCCATGCCGCCGCGTTCCCGCTCGTCGATGACGCGCTGCGGCTGGCTGGCGACAATCTTGCCATCGTCGTTGGCCTTCCAGGCGCTCTCGCCGTCGTCCTTGATATTCACCTTCTTCCAGGGCAGCACGCAGATGCCGCAGCACTTCTCCATGCCACTCAGATTCTTCTCCGCCTCCCGCATGTCCGCGTTGATCCGGTCCATGCCCTCCTCGATCCGGTCCAGCTGCTCGCCCTGGTCGTCCAGGGCCACCAGCGTGCGGATGCCCGCCTCCTTGCTCTCGTCCATGAGGCTGAGCATCCGCCGTGTGCTCTCCAGCGATTCATCGGCCACCTGGCCGGACTTGAACTGCAGCTCCTGCAGCTCAGTGCGGGGCTCGGGATTTTCCACGGCGGCCATTGCTGGGTGACTTGGTGCGGCTGAGATCACTTAAGCTTTTAGCAAGTGGTTGCGAGGCAAGACGTTTGTCTTGTTGTTTTTGGGTGGGGAGGAGAAATCTGGAAATCTGACTCACGGTCGCGAAATGTAAAAATTAGCTTTTTTGTGCTGACTCAGTGTGCAACTACAGCGGATATGTAATTGGGGTGGGACTAAGCTCGATTGTGCTCGTTACGTAGGAACTTATCAACGAGTTTTAAGTAATTTCTTTGCGAAAATCTGATTTTTCACACACGAAACGCCAATTTGTATACATATGAGAATTAGAGAGACTGTGTTGCGGCGAAATCTTCCAGGAATGTGACCAGCTAACTAGGTAGTGACCAAGGCTTGCGTCTATGCTAGCTGAAAATAATTTTATTTCTTGTAGAAATATTTGTGATCTAGTAACTGCGCTGATATTATTCCTTAAATACAAAATAAATAAATCTTATTCAACTAAAATTTTCAACTTGATAACATCCCTAGCTGTGCATTGAATAGTTAATAATAGTTTTGTTTTAATACCTCGAGGCCGCCAATTTATAACAACGCCGTTGCCATCTTCATTGCGCGCGCAGTGTTGAAAAGTGTGTTTGAAATATTAACGCTTTGTTTTTCGGTACAGCGTCGGTCTTCAGCTGCCCCAATTTTCTAATAACTGGACGTGTTCATTCGTTTTTAATTTCCGCGTGGCCAATTGGGCATAGCATATAACTAGTCATGGACGATTCGCGCAGATCGGTGGCGGGAAAGGCAAGTATATAGTAGTTCTAGTGGGTGTTCGTATTCCTCCGCATATCTTAAAACTCTGAACCCGTTTGTCGTGGTCGTGCTAACAATTGGATTCCATTCCCTGCAGATCGACGAGAGTGTCTCAATGTACCTATCCTTCGACACCGACGACACATTGTCCAACGCCAAGTGGCAGTCGGCCATGGTAACCCAGAGCAGCCAGATCCTGGAGGTGCACACCAGTAAGTTGGAGGCTATCGATGACAAGGACCTCAGGCGCACCGTCCTGAAGGATCTGCAGCAGCTGACCATCAGCGAGCCGGACCAAAACTCGCCACTCCGCCCCTTTGACAAGAGCGCTCTCAACCGGCACAACGCCCTGTGCTCCACTCCCTCCAAGGACAATGCGTCGATGGATGCGCAGCTTCAGCAACCCCAGATCATGACCATGGACCTGACCCATGTGGAAGACAAGGAGAACACCCACCCGGATGGCGATACTCATGCTGGCGGCGATAACTCCACTTTGTCCAGTTCCGTGGACGTGACCGCCAATACGGTGAAGGCCAACACGCTGAAGATCGAGGACGCAACCATGGACGATGTGTCCTTGCAGGAGGGTCCGAAGCCTCCGGCCCCAAGCCAAGTGTATCCTTTGAGTGCCAACGTGGTGCTAGAGAATATCACTGAAGGTGAGTTTGTGCGTTTAGAAGATTGGGCCCTTTTAACCATCTTAGTTTGCAGTTTCCAACGAAGACGTATCCATGATAGCCTCGCCTTCAACTGAAAAGGAGGTGGCCCAGGTCACCGAGGTAGTAAACGAAGTCTCGGAGCTAATTGCCAAGGCTTTGAAGATGTCCAGCGACTCTGTGAAGCCATCGGCCTCCAAATTGAAAGTGGAGGTGGGCAAGAAGAGGCAGTCCATGACCTCCACGTACTCGGGACCCCTGCCACGCCCTCGACGCTCCTACATGCCCACCGCCAGTGCAGAGACGCGCACCTATTCCTTCAAGCAGCGCATGTCGGTGGTGGTTAAGACCACGCTCAATAGTCCAGCCCGCAAGCTGAGTGCGGGTGGCGGCCTGGCCGTAAGCCGTCGCAGCTGCCTGCCCGTCTCCAAGTTGACCAAGGGCACCAATCGCAAGTCACTCGCTGTGACCAGCAGCCGTTCGCCGCCGAAGATCACCACGAAGGTGACCAAACCGCCAGTCAAAAGCATTCCCGACTGCGTGTTCAACTGCAAGAACTGCGGAGCCACCTTCCGCGTTAAGTCACTACTCGATATGCATATGCGCATGCACGACTTGGTGGAAAACGGACCCAAGACCCTGAAGCGACTGAACACCAATCCACCACCGGCTGCAGCGGGCGGCTCTAAGAACCGCTGCAAGTTCTGTGACAAGTACTTTGCCTTGGAGCGCGCTTTGCACATCCATTTGATGCAGAACTGTGACAAGATACCGCCAGTCGAGAAGCGCAAGCTGGATTTCACAGAGTTGAACCACAAAAAGAAGGCCCAGCTGCCAAAGATCGGGGCTACCAGTGTGATCAACCAGCCAGCGCCAATGACAATGCCGCCGAAGCCACAGCACCGCATGAGCACAATTCCAAGAATGGGTAAGGTTTTATACAAAACAAGCAGATCACTTAAGTGAACCGAAATTTTTCAAACTAAATAAGTTTTTTTTCTAAGCCTTGCTAGCTCGAAGTTCTTCCCAGATTAAAAGTAATATTTTCTGATTAACAGCTTCCTCGAATGTGCCCCAGACGATGGCCCCACCATCCGCCAAGAAGGTTCCCAAGAACGTCGCGCATGCCGGCGTCTATCGCACTCCCACAAAGACTGTGCCCTGTCACATTTGCAAGCAGTCCTTTAAGAGCATACTGGAATTCACCAAGCACAGCATGACCATGCATGCCAAGAGCCAGCTGAAGAAAGTGACTGGTGGAGAGGACGCACAGAGTGCTAAGGATTAAATCAAACGATTCGTGTGTAGACTAGTCTAGGTCTAAGTTAAATGTACTTTAATCGTTCCCAGTTTAAATGCACATTAACATAATCACTTGCTCTTCTTTTCGGGCGGTGGCTTCATGTCCACACCCTCGGTTTTTATGTCCAGAGGTCCTGTGGCATTGTTCAGTTCGGAGGCGTTTCCCCCTGCGTTCACGTCGTCGCCGCGGCAGCGGCTGCTGGAGATTCTGCAGCATAGGCGGTATGGGTGGGGGAAATTTACGCAGTAGTTCGGCGAGCAGCATGTCCACACGCTGCTTCTGGAACAATGTGCCGCTGTTTTCATCCTTTGCCGCGTTGGCGTCCTTCTTATCCGTCTTGGATTTATCAGACACTACAAGTAGGATGTTTTATTAGGTAAAGGTTATTGTTCGGTTTAAAGTGATCCGAAAATGGCGATATACTTATGTACAATCTACGTACAGACTTTATTGGAGGAGAAATCCCAGGTATAGCCCTTATTGGGATGGTAGCGAGCATAGCTGCTAGCTTCTCGAAGGCTGATTGCAGGTTGACCACTGTGTTGAGCTGGAAACGTGGCCATTAAGCAGAAGGTTGATCATCGAGGAATTACCTACTATTCGGGCATTGATGACGTTGGCCAGATCGGGCGCCTTGTAGACGGTGCCTCCGATGATGTAGTAGTCGGCTATGGGTGTGGCCTCCGAGGGATTGTGCCGGTGCTGTTACGGATGACATAGAGGATAGGCTCCGCGACGTGCAGCAGGATATACTCCAGGCCGATCATGTTGCTGGATAGGGAAAGGGGGGTTATTATCTACTGAATTATATGGTGGGTTCCACATACTGCAGGTGCTCCGGACCTAGGCGCTGCATCCGCACGGTCTCGTTGTTGCACATGTGATCGTAGAAGGGATTCGATTTGCGGCAGAAGTAGTCCATGACGCTCTGCGGGCTCAGGGTGGCCATCATCTGGGTGTCGTGCCAGGAGAGGCGCAGGTGGTCGTTGGCAATCTGTCGGCTGGCCATCGTGGACGTGGATGATGCACGTGCTCCTCAGCGGGACGTGGATATGTGGATGTGGGAAGTGGCTGCGAGGGCCACTGCAACTGCACCGATTTCTCGCTTGGCAATGACAACGACTAATTTGTGGGTCAATGACGTTGAGAGCGCTTCTTTTTCCTATTCCTATTCCTAGCGATCGCTTTGTTTACAAGCTATTTTCGGCCGCACGCTGCCAATTGGAAACTGTCGGTGGCACTTTTTTGATTTATTTGTTGTGTAATAATTAATTTAGCAGGCTGCGGCGCACGCTGCTCCCGCTCGGCCCACTCCACGTTAATACTGTAAGTTTTTGACCGGTTTCCTATCCTCTGTGGCGTGTTTTTATTGTGTTTTCTACTTGTGTTTTTGCTTCGCGCTCGTTAAAAAAACCATTTTGTTGTGATTTTCGCTTGGCCAGTTGCTTGCGCTTTGCAACACTGCTTCGCTGGCTGCCATAGTGCTGGTTAGTGTGCGAGCAACGCCGGGGTGGCAGCGCTGTGCTTGGGACGGATAAGAAGAAGCAGCAGGGCAGGCGTATGCGAAAAAGTTTAAAAATAAACAAATTCCGTTTTAAATCAAACTGATATTCAATTTTCCGGGCGCGCAGTCAAGTCGTAGCAGCCAACACACACACACACATAAAGGAAAGTGAGATTATTAAACAAAATTTGCGCTCTCACACGGAACCTCTGTTCTTGGACGTCGGCTCATCAATATTGGGAACCATATCAGTTCGTTCTGTTCACTTCGTCGTGGCGCACGGGAATCAGACGCCCAGCAGCGCAAAGCTCTTGCAATGGTAACCATATCATCTATATCTACATATATCAGTTATTTCGCCAGTTACCGCATCGACATTGAACTCCAGACCTCCTGTACATAGAACCACCCGCACAACAACAGAAACTACACCTCGCCACCCACTCATCTGTGTGTGCATATTCGCTTATGAGCAGTGCCTATACCAGTCAAGGTCGTACGATTCTCGGCCAGGCGCACATACGAAAACGTTCTTTTTTTACGCCTCACCTTGATTTTCAACTATATGTTCGTGCGTGTGTGTCTGTGCCGTTTCCATGGCTGCCAGTCTTTGTTTATTCCAATTCCACCTGGGATATCTTGAAATCCGCTGTAAATAACCGCCCAAGTGTTGTGTGTGCCAGGATCAGTGTTGGCAAGGCTACTAGTTTTTGTACCTAGGTTGGGTACAAGGTACCTATTATGTTTGAAAGATAAAAGTCCCAAAGAATCATTAAAAATTATGAAGAACTATAGAAAATGTATATCGACAAGGTTAAAATAAGATCCAAAATCTTGAAGCCTATAAATTTTTGAAAATATCTTTAAGAGGATAAAGATAACAGAATGTTAATAATGTATTCAAAAGATAACTTTTTAAAGAATTTAAAATATAACTTTAAATGTTAGTTAAGTTAATAAACTTAAATAACATCGTATAGATTTTTATTTCCCATGGAAACTAAAAGAAGCTTTAAAATATACTTAAAATCTATTTATAAACCTAAATGAACACGAGTAATATTCGTGGGTACAAACATCTATGTACCCCCAACACTGGTCAGGATGATCTCCGTTTCGAAACAACTCAATTCTATTCTCTTCTAGATTGTCGCACACTTTATAGGCTCAAGCGGATCCCTTCCAGATCCGAGCCACAGTCCGTTTCAGCGAAATGCGCTACATAAAACCGGAGCCGTACTATGAAGTAAACGATCAGCAGAACCAATCTCTTCAGCCTCTAAGCCCAAAACCCCTAGAAACAAACAATCTGACCATCTACCATTTACAGGGGTTACCACCATTCAATGTCAGCGGCAGTCCGTTTAACGTGGTGCCCATCCACAACTACCCGGAGCTGATGAAGGACACTTGCGCCCTGATCAACGCCGAGTGGCCGCGTTCGGAAACGGCGCGCATGCGCTCCTGGAGGCCTCCTGCGACACCCTGCCCTGCAGCTGGTGCTGACCACTGAGGGCATGTGCCGTGTGATCGCCCACCTCAAGCTCAGCCCGATCACCTCGAAGAAGAAGGCCTGCTTCGTGGAATCCGTGGTGGTGGACAAGCGGCACCGCGGCCAGGGATTCGGCAAGCTGATCATGAAGTTCGCCGAGGACTATTGCCGCGTGGTGCTCGATCTCAAGACCATCTACCTGTCCACCATCGACCAGGATGGATTCTACGAGCGCATCGGCTACGAGTACTGCGCTCCCGTCACAATGTACGGGCCGCGCCACTGCGAACTGCCCAGTTTGCAAAATGCCAAAAAGAAATACATGAAGAAGGTCTTATAGACATCAACGCCAGTAGTAGTGGGCTTAGCCAAATTGGGCCGTGCCGAGTCCGATCAGAGAGTGGCAGTGAACTAGTCAAATTGGCAAACGCTTGAAATTCTTTACGGGTTATACCTGCCAGCAGCTGCTCCGAGCCATAACCTGCGGACGCCAGGCAGTCTGCCAAATGCAAAGTTGATAGGATTGCCTCGTTTCCGTTCCACAGGCGAATTGCGAGGCGGCAAAAGCTTTTAATTCCATTACACCGATAAGCAAACATTCACCAAACGCTTGTGTTGATTTTTGAATATTACTTTCCGCATGTATTTTGTAAACTTTTTGGTTCTTTTTGTATGACAAAGGTGACCCCGGGCTGTTCGGTACATGTATAAGGCTAATGTTAACCTAATCCTAAAACTGTTTAGCTATTATCGTTTGTTATAGTTTTGCTCAAGCGTGTGCGTAATTGCTCCTAGACGAATATCTACCTGCCTGCGATGATAATAAGAAGCTCAAGTATCTTCCAACGAAACATAGCATATAGACAACATATCGAGCCTTAGCATTAAGCACCCAACGAAGGCAATAACTTCCAATAAAACGTGTAGAAACTTAAGGTCCCATCTGTTGTTGTTCCTGGCGGAAGTGGCGACGACGGAAACGCCTGTCTGGCGGAGATGAGCGATGTGCTGCGATGCATCCAAGCGTCCACCTCGTGCGGCAGATGACAAGTTCAAGTTCACGGCGGCGACGTCTATAAATTGATGTTATTTTTGCGCAGCCAAATTTGACGGGGGCTCGGTGCCCAAATGGTTAGTGCCCGCCCAGCAAGCGTCATGTTAGTGTTACAGAAATAAACCGCAGTGATGTAAGGCAGATAGAGATCGCTCTCTCTCTCGGCTGCCAGAAATCCGACGACTTCCCCTCGCAATGGGGCTGTAGCCATAGAGACTGCAACTAGGGTGCGGCGTGCGGCTCTCCGAAAGCGGAAGCTGTTGGTTGATCTCTGCTGGCTTGGCCGGGGCACGGTGATCTTTTATGGTTACACATTTTTTAAATACCTGCCTGGCGTTCGGCGCGACAGGTGCTAATGGGGCGACATTTCAATTGTCCGTTGCCAAAGCGAATCCGCACGTAAATGCAATTAAATTCGTATCTTCTAAAATGGAAAGTTTATTGTGCGCTCACATTACATACGGTATGTAGACATTTGGCCGATTAATAGGACTGCGACAAAATATCAAATAAATTTGTACGTCTCCAATGATCAGTTGCAATTGGTTCGAATCCCCATGGATGATGGATTGTTCTAGGCACTTTTGGGTGCCTTGCTATGCCGCACACCTTGCCGTAGTGCTCTGGCTGCTCCAGACTGTCGATAATGAACTTTCCGAGATCGTACTTGGACACCAGGCGCCCAGGAGCTCATCATGCACCACGGTGTAGCGGTGGCCGGTCATCGGCGATGTGCGGCGGCAGGATGGCAATCCAGTCAGACCGGAGGCCTTGGTCAGGTCCAGCATGCGCTGGTGCTCCTCATTCAGGCGGTGGAACACGGCGGGCACCTCGTTGAGCGGGCGCAGCAGGAACGAGGACATGACGATGGAGAACTTGGTGAGCTTGGCCTCCTTCATGGCCTTGATGAGGTTCTCGGTGCCGCGGGACAGCTCAGTGGTGGCCTCCAACTTGTTGCGTGTGCCCAGAATGACGGCCACCGCCTCCACGCCTCGATGAGGCGCTGCACATCCTCGTAGTTGGTCACATCGCCCTTTACCAGTTCAACTTTGGACTTGAAGCGTTCCGGAACGGTCTTCTCCGTGCGATAAAGCAGTTTTACCGAAAGGCCTGCCAAGAAGGGAAGGGATTAGTGGGGGTCTTCGACCTATGGGGTCACCTACCCTTCTCCAGGGCGCGATCCACGGCGCACTCGCCGGTCATTCCAGTTCCTCCAATAATAGCAATGCGTTGCATAATGCGGCTGTTCATAAATCCCTGGGAATCGAATGCGTTTAGTCCAGTCTTGGGTGTGCAAATGTGCAGTCTCACCTGTGCTTCAGGTGCTACTTATCTATCAAAGGTCCAAATCAGAAGTGAATCCAGCGATTGCTTCGAATTCTCACCTCACCGGCTGATTATTCTACCTCTCCCTCACACGCATAAAGCAAATAAATATACAGTGATCTGTCTAGTGAGTGAACTTAGCTTGTGTGAAAGTTTCCAAGAGGTTACAAGATCTTTATAAAACCTTAAATATTTACATTACACTTACATTTAAAAAGTTATTATTTTTAATAGAAGCCTGTTATTATTGTTCACTGCATCGAGTCACCACTGTAAGTGCAGTACGAAAGGTATTTTTGTATAGATTACTGACAGCCCTGATGATAATGTACATCATATCTGGCGATAACAATTTTATTTACAAACGTTACTGCTCATTGTCATGGTGATTAACATTAAAATTAAAACGTATTATAGTGCAATTTTAAATTAAGGCGAATTTTCTCAGTCTGGCAACCTTGCCCGCTCCGTTCAGTGCTGTGAAGTCCGGCGCAGTCAAAAGTTTAACCGCCAAGACGTTACGCATGGGACTCCGATTCCTCGGAATAGGGATTATCTGCCGGGTTTTTGACCCTCCTCAGCGTTATTCCCAGCTTAAGTTCACTTAGGAAGTCTCCACCGACTGGCTTACGTTCCGGACGCGGCTTAATACCGCTTATGGTGGCCGCCTTCTGATCCACTTTCTGTAAGTTTCAGAAGAGGATTGAGTTTTCTGGTATAATAAAGCTTAATGTATAATACCTTGAGTGCTACACCTTGTCGGATGCTCGCCAGAAAGGCGTCCCTCGGGTCTCCGCCAGAGGAAGCAGCTGGAGCAGCTTTGGGTTGTGACATCTGCATTGGAGGCGGTGGTGGAACTCCCGCCAAGCCACCTGGTGGAGGTGGGGCGGAGGAGGTGCTCCTCCCGCAGCGGCAACTGGCATTGGAGGCGGCGGCGGAGGAGGTGCTCCTGCAGATGCCGCAACAGGCGGCGGAGGAGGAACTGGAACTGGCACTAGGAGCCCTTGTGTTATGCACTGGAAGAGGAGTCACATAAGCAGGGGGATCCTCGAAATCGGCTTGGCTGGAGGAGCAGGAGGTGCTGGCTTGACAACTGGCGCCGGCTTGGTCACTGGCGCATACTGCACTGGGGACACGGCATACAGTGATCCACCGGAAATCGTGAATTCGTGTTTGGCACTATTGTTGGCTTTGGAGGCGCTGGCGGCGGGATGCGCATGGAGCCCACCTTTCGCTGCGGCGCGATGGTGGCATAGATTTCATTGGACACTTTGGGCGCAGCCGAAGGACGCACTTGGTGTATATCAATAGCCGCTGGATAGCCATGTGTGTTCTTCGCCATGACCGCTGACGGAGGCGGCGGAACCTTCGGTCTGTTCACCTGCTGCTGCTGGACCTGAACGGGAATCACCGTTCCCACTTCCGGCTGTCTAAAAGGCGTCGATGCAGCAGGTGGTGGACCATTCAGATCCATATCTGAGATGTCCACAAACCGAGATGTCAATGAGGCGTAGTTGGAGAAGTTTGGAGCAGCCGTAGGCCTGAAACGTTGGCCATTGGCGGCGGTGGAGGCGACGGCGGAGGAGTTATCTGGTTGTTGGTGGAAATGGTGGCATAGAGTAGCGGCCTGTCCGTTTCCTGGACTCTTGGTTGATCCTGGATATCACTCTTTGATGGCTGAAGAGACAAAAGAAGGTATTAAGAGACTCGATTCAACTGCAATCACCTACCATCCATGTAAAGTTGGAGTGAACAATTTTCTTGATCACATCCTGTCGTCGCATGTCGCTGATGTCCGCTCCGTGATGCCCCGCTCCATCATGTACTTCCTTAGCACCTTGTCGTTTGAGTCGGCGTTCAGGTCAAAGGCATTTCGCGTCCGATCCCTTGTCACATCGCCGGAAACATGCTGGAAGTTGACTGGTCCGCTAATCTCGTACTTGGAACCTTGTTGCTGACCAGGACGCTGGTGGCGAAGCTGGGACCCGCCAGAACCGCAGAGGGTGCGCCCGCATACCTGTCCAGGCTGTTCGTGGAGGAGGAGCTCTTCATGCCGTCGATACTTGCGTTGGTGCTCACGTTGTCGGCGTAATAGGGAGGTGGACGAACTGCAGGCGGTGGATGGGCGAAGACGTCGGTGCTCACTTGCATGGAAGGAGGCTGGAAAGAGAAGAAACGGCTGCGTTCAGGACTAGGCTGTGCATCGGGGATCACTGATGTAACTGATGCTGATAAGGAGGGATGCTGCAGGACATTACCACCCAGTAACCGGGACCCTTATTGCTTCTAATTATGTCATAGACGTAGGCGCGCCGCATGATTGCCGGCAGACGATCGAGGTCGTCGGACAGGTTGGCCTTCCGCAGGTACAACTGGAGCATTTCGTCGCCGCCCTGGCCCCGCAGATCGAACGTCTTGCGGAAGTCAATGGCCCGGCCCTCCAGCTGCCGAAACTCCACGGGCTCGGAAATGTAGGCGTATGTAAGATCCTCCATGGCGCTGGAAAAGCGGATACGTAGTTGGAAGCTGCGTTAGTAGGGCTGCAAAGGAGGTTTCCGACCACTGGCTTTGTCTTGAATCTCGCCCCGTAGCCGCTGTGCGTCCACAAAGCCCCGCGGCATTATCTAGTAGCCAGTTTGCAGATAAGAATTGCTGGCGCAACTTGGGTTTTTTATCAATTTCGGATTCGGATCGCAGTGGGCCTTCGCCGCGGTGACTCATCGCCAGTTCCAGTTACCAGGTAACCCGGCTAATTCAAAGCCCGTGGGGGAGAGCAGGATCAGAAGGAGATCTAGATCTAGAACGGCAGCAGGCAGCGAGGATCATCAAATACCAATTACCGTGTGCACCGAAGAGCTGTATGCAGGGATTCTGCAGGCCTAGACTGGACAGGATTGGATTGGCAGGCGTTTGAACGGCACAGAGAACCTTGTGGGACTGATTAACGACGGCGGTATGTCATGTTAGGCACTGCGTTTACTCATTTCGCGAAGCGCCTTATCTGGAGCCGAGGCGCTGGAAACTGATAACTGGAGGCCAGTAATCACCTGGGCCAGCGACGCCGACTCCGACAGCCTGAGCCAAAGGAAAACATAAACAATCGAGTGGAGTAAACTATATTTTGGTATGGAGGGCTACGATATGCGATTTGGCTGTCAATGTCTTGCCGTGCAGGTTGGGTAAGTCCAGAATCAGGTAACTTACTAATGACTAATGTCTGCAAAAAGCGGAAACCACGTTATGGGCTATAATTATCGCATTCCAAGAGAAAGCACCTTCGGCTATAGAGCTTCCTGTCTAAAAATATGCGTGACGTTAAGATCCCAATTATACATTTGTTTAATCTATTTGAATGATCAAATACATTACAAGCTCAACATTAGTATAAGCATTACTTTCCTTGTTTTATAATAAAGATCTTATCTAATGTAAGTTGACAAGCCTTTTTTTTGTCTGTCTTTAAAATATACTTTAATTAAAATCAAGTTTAACTGAGTTTGTGTAGGGTCTTTCTGTAAACAAAGAAATCATCGATCATTCTAATGACATTTATAGGTATAAATCGTTGGTTTTAATGGACTTATTATAATTAATTTATCAATTACTTTATCCTTTAAGGCATATGAGAAATAGAAGACCCTGAGTTTTTCTACTCAACAAATTTTGTATTAAAATAGTAACTAATTCTGCTAGTTTTTTAAAGTAGTTTCATAACTTTTTCAGCTACGCTTCCGAATCGGAACTTCCGATAAGAACCCCTTCCAAACTTTAGCTGTAGTAGGAACCCTGTGGAGTTTTCAGTTGTCATAGAGTTTACTGTCAATCATGTTCATTTTTTAAGTCGACGGAGAAAGCAAATTTCATTTCCCTACTTATCAGCAGCCGGAACGTTTCGTAAAAATTCTTAACAATTTTTTTATGCTAGGAAAATTTATATTTAGTTTTTTTATTGAATCTGGCCAACTGCGCATGCGCAACCTGAATTAATACCACTCAATAGCATTTTTGAGAGTTCTGCCAAGTCAACAGAACTACCATTAAACATGAAGATTAACATCACGGGTGAATATACGCTAGCGGAGATCGAGGTGGAAGTGGACACCGAGTTGAGCGCCGAGGACCTGCAGCCCGGAGCCACCGTGCTGGCATCTAACGAGGGTGATGGCGGCCTGGAGCAGATAGTCAGCCACGAAGATCTGTCCAGGTTCTTTACCGTGGCGCCGGCGAGTGCCCTCCCCATGCCTACGGATGTTGTGGTGGAGCGCACCCTGGCGGATCCAGCCCTCAAGCAAATCCTGCAGGAGGCTGACGGCAAGAGAGGCTTCGATCCCAAGGCGGAGCAGTTGAAGATTCGCGAATTTCTGGCTGGGGTTACCAACAGCAAGATGACCACTGAGCAATCGGTGTTCCAAGGTAATCGTATCAGATATATATTAATATTATATCACTCATCTTGCCCTTTAGGATCCCGTTCCAATTCCTCTGCGGCTGCTAGCAGCCGTATAAAGTGTCCCCAGTGTCAGGTCTACTATGATGCTGTTTCCTTCCAGAGCCACACCTGTGAAACCGAAGTCGATCGGAAACCTGCTGTAACAGTCACAGTTGCTCAGCAGGAGAAGCCCCCTGCTGTCCCCACTGTAAGTGCTCCTCCCGCTCCGCCCAGTAAGCCAGGCAGCAAGCGTGTGATCCTGGAGAACCAGGTGCGCCTGCGGCGCTACATGAAGGATGAGATGAAATACGACCTGGCCACCGGCGTTGATAGCTCGCGCGGCAGGAAGTCGGGGAAGGGTCCGAACGAGTGCACCATGTGCGACCGGAAGTTTGTGCATCCCTCTGGATTGGTGCGCCATATGGAGAAGCACGCTTTGGACATGATCCCTTCTCAGGCCAGCTTGCAGCCATATACAGCTCCGGCTGCCGGTTTCCATGTCGTGGTGAAGTGCAACATCTGTGGGCGCATCTTCTATGATCCGCTGGCGGCCTTGGAGCACGGCTCCATTCACTATCCGGAGCATGAAGAGCTGTGTCATATTCCGGAGGACCTGTATTCCTCTGGCAAAAAGGATTTCAAGGAACTTCTGCTGGAGGGTGAGATGCTGCTGGCCGGAGAGCTGACAGTAACGGTGGCCCAGCAAAAGGCTGGCCGTCGGGAGAGGGAGCTGTTCTCCAGCCTGATCCTGGGCAGCGTTTTGCAGTGCGAATTCTGCGAGTATATCTTCGCTGATATAGCCGAACTGCTCGTCCATTCGGCCTCCCATGTGGCGGAGCGGCGCTTCGAGTGTACCGCCTGCAACATGCAGATGAACACTGCGAAGGAGGCCAGCACCCACTTCCAGACGGACTGCATCTTTATGCGGGAGGCCATACGATCCCTGAGTGTCACCCTAAGTCGCCACTTTGTGTGCAATGTGTGCGAACTTAAGTTCGCCAACACAGATCTGCTCCAGGAGCATCGGTAAGGTGTTTGGATAGGCCTTAAATCCTGCAGGATAAGCATATAGTTCTTACGCCCTCCAGATACACCTCGTACCACTACTTCCCCCGGCTCAGCCAGAATGGTAAGAAGCTGCTGCTGCCTTGCGAATTCTGCGAGGTCAACTTCGAGTTCGCTCACGAAATCCTGGCCCACAACGAGGAGAAGCACCTGAACAAGAAGAAGCGCGAAAAGGAAACGCGCAATGCGGGCACTGGTCGCTTGCGTCAGTATCTGTGCGACATCTGTGGCAAGTCGTACACCCAGTCGAGCCATCTGTGGCAGCACCTGCGCTTCCACCAAGGTAAGTATCGTAGTAGATAAGAAGCTACTCCATGTGATTTATATATCTCTTTCTCCCATTAGGTGTCAAGCCGTTTGTCTGCCAGGAAGAGAACTGTGACCGGAAGTTCACCATTCGACCGGATCTGAACGACCACATCCGCAAGTGCCACACGGGCGAGCGTCCGTATCTCTGCCTGGTGTGTGGAAAGCGCTTCCTCACAGGATCCGTCTTCTACCAGCACCGTCTAATCCATCGCGGCGAGCGGCGCTACGAGTGTGAGGAGTGCGGCAAGCGCTTCTACCGGGCGGACGCCCTCAAGAACCACCAGCGCATCCACACCGGCGAAAAGCCTTATAGCTGTCTCTTCTGCACCAAGACCTTTCGCCAGCGTGGCGATCGGGACAAGCACATCCGGGCGCGTCACTCCCACTTGGACGCCAACTCGCGACTGATGATGCAGATGCAAAAGTTCCAGCTGGAGACGGCTGCTGCCCAGCGGGTGCAACATCATACCCCGGAGAAGCAGGCAGCAGCAGCAGCAGCAGCAGCAGCAGCTCTTGGTGGCAGTCCTTCGGATGTAGCCTCTTGCTCGGGATCCGGATCTGCCGAGGCTGGCGACCAGGTGATACAGTATTCTGTTATTCAAGAGCCGCAAGAGGAATGATGTGCATGCCAATGGGCGAGGTGAACCAGAGTTTCCTGATGTCACACTATGTCCAGGGTGTTCCGATGGAGACCGATGGCTCCGAGCAGCAGATCATTGTCTTTGAGGAGCCGGTTCAGGAAATGGATGTGATGAGCATTTTCGATCCGCAGCAAAGTCAGGATCAAATGCAGGAAAATGCCAGGGTGTTGGTTGTCAAGAACAATCCCACCCAGCCGCTATATTCGGATACCTATATGTAGTAATCCAATTTGAATTAAAATAAAGCGCCTGATGAACTTAGCAAGTGACAAAACCAAAGGGCGTGGCCACTTTTTACCTAACTGAGAAACAGCGTTGCCACTCTTTCGATGGTATATACATTTTCGGTATTTATTTTTCAGGCGTATGGTATTTTTTTCCGTCGTCGACCCGGCCACACTGCTGGTTCCTTTCTTTTCGAATTTCTCGTGGAAAACGCCAACATGGGTTTCGCTACTCTCTGGTACTCGCATCCCCGCAAATACGGCCAAGGCTCCCGATGCTGGTAAGATTTGTGTGGCCCATAGCCTGGCGCACCGTTTGGTGTACGATTTGTTTAAATGCTTGCCCCGTATCCCCGTATTTTGCACGATTTTCCGCATGCCTGTAGAAAGTGAGGTTATTCACGGCCCGCTTTTTTTCACGCATGGCGTCTGCCAATTTGTATTGCTTATTCACTTGATTTATGTCGTTAATGCACAGATAGATGTTCAATGGCTTTTGCCCCCGGTTGAGTACGGAAATACGTGTTTAAACATCTTGAACAGTTTCCTTAATTAAGGGTGGCCAAAGTAACAGCTGCACGAGGCGAGAGAGTGATTTCTACGAGGAAATGGCTCAGCCGAGTGCAGCGACAGCTTTGCTATGTTTAAAGGAAACTGTGCCAGCTATGGAATTCCTTTGAAGAACCGAAGTAATTCCTATCCAATTCTATTCCAGCCGTGCCTGCTCTAACCGCCACGGTCTGATCCGCAAGTATGGCCTGAACATCTGCCGTCAGTGCTTCAGGGAGTACGCCAACGACATTGGCTTCAAGAAGGTGAGTCCTCTGGACATTCCATCATAACTGGTAACTAAATTCTCCTAATCCCCTTCCAGCTGGACTAAATGTCCTCTTCGCCTTCGGCACGCGTTCATCGCGTTGCAAAACAACATTCGGCATATTAATATAGGGCAGTCGTCGTCGGAAGTTCGGCCTCTCCGTATAATAATATGCCGGCAGCAGCAGCAGCAACAGCAACAACACACATAATCATTTGGGGATTTAAGCAAGGACAAAGCACACATGGAACCGATGTAATCCAAAGTAATCTCTAAGCAAGTAACCAGTATGGCCACCACCACAGAATTCCAACAGTTACCACCTTCCGCGAAGGATCTTTGTTAAAACACTAGTTTGTTTAAATCTCCGTCTGATTAAACCCATAACAAGAAACGTATTTACATTTTGTGTCATAATTTGAGCCTACATTTTAGCGGTCATCTATTTGTGTCGTTATGTGAGCCTTAATCTCGGTGGGAATCCCAATGTTTGTGTTGACAGATGCCGGAAAATTGGTGCACTTCCTTGTTTTCGGACTGCAGTTGTAATCAGTCCGTCAGTTTGTGTCACCTAATAACACATAAGCCGCTACCAAAACAAAAACATAACCGGTTTCGCGCTGGAGACCGGGTCATCCCCAAACCTTAGCTCTCAGGCGTTCGGATCTTCATTGTTGTGTTTTGCCAGGCTTGTGATTTCATATAGTGGTTTAAGATGATATATGATGTGTTAAACTGAACAGCTACACGCCTTAAAAAAAAACCATCAGTAATTTGGTTCTATATATTAATTGAACTTAAGATTCTTTAAAATTTTAAAACAACAAAAAAGTTTTAGGACTTCTAGTTTTTTTCTTATCTAAACAATTTTGTAGACAAGTGAAATAAACTTTTTATTCCAAAAAAGGGAGTTTTTATCACTCAGTTTCTATTATGAGTAGATAGTATTACTCATCACAAGTACATATCAGTATATAAAAATAAATAGAGAAGTAATACCCAGCATTTATATATCAGTAATTTTATAACTTGTGACTGAAGCTAAGTTTAGACACAAAAAATATATCTGGGATTTTGTTTAGTAAATTAAAATTGTAAAATCAATTACTTAACACATCGCCTAATTACTTGAAGATACATTACATAAGTAGAAAAGGCTATATTTGAGTTAATGATGCAGAAATGCTCCTTGTGTAATAAACCATGTCATCATACGATCTTTTAACCACACAGATCGTGAGAAATGCAAGAGTTAAATAGCTTGGTCTTTCAACAAACTACACTTGAAAACTTAAAATGCGACTATCTTAAAGGCTTTTTCTTGAGATATTCCACTTTTGTAATAATTGAGCGATAAGCAACTTTATGGGAACCTTTTAAAATCTTAACATGTAACTCCATCCTACAACTGAAATGAAAAGGCACAACAACCCAAACAGCAAGCTTCCCACGCGAATCTGTCAAGAGCGCTTATTCGGCTCCGTAATTGATGGGGTCCTTTTGGAAAGCCGGAAGCAATCTCCTGGCTGGTGGCCAGCACTTCCTCATTTCTACGACAGTGGGTTAGTGGTATCCACATCAAGACTGCAGCACATTCACCGGTGCAAGCCAACCACCCAGCCAAGAGCCCATTATTCCGAGAGGCAGGCCAACCACAGACCAGAGTGAAACCAGTTTTGGGGCGCTAAAGAGCGGGTCAGCCCCCGCTTAAGCTCTCTTAGCTGTTTAGTCCGCCGAATGCTGGCTTCGCAGCCGAAATTCGGTATTACGATTTGCACATTCGCCAATTGGGCTTGGGAGTCTGAAGCGGTCGCTTGGTGTCTAAACAACGTAGTCGCGCTTGCCCAACTTAACCCAGTATCACATCACCTGTACTCCACCAGAGATGAGTGATTGTAAGTGAGTGAGTGAGTGACACACACTGCAGTGACTCCAAAGGAAAGGTCAGTGGCTCAGTGACCCCTAAGTGATCCCCGGACGCAATGAGATTGATCTGGCTGCAGCTCCTGGCTGCTGGGGGAGCCCTCTACCTGTCCATCGGTTGTGCAATGGCATCGGCTGCCAAGGCGTCCACAAACCGCGGAGTTGCACAATACCACTCCCGCTCCCAGCTCCACAGCCCGACCACGAAGCATCGGCGGTTTCAGGAGCGGATCAGGCCAGGCGGGAGAAGCAGGGGACATCCAACCAGCGGAGGGTCGTCCGGCGGCGCAGGCCGTCTCCTCCACCACAACAACCTCTTCCACCAGTACCACCACCACCTCAACAACAACAACCAATCAACCACAACGACGACCACAAGTGAGTGCGCAGAAAAATATTGGGGTCTAATGAAAGACCCCGACAGGCTATAAATTTATGGGTATATAGCTTTGATCTTAGATCAAGTGGTCTGTAAACACTTGCAAACTGGTCGAAGATGCTGGCACTGACCTAGCTTTTCGGTTTCGGCCATAAAGATTGAAAGTGGTATTGCGAAAACAACCATAACAGTGACAAGAAGTGGTCTGACAGAAGATATGATCTAATACAACGATAGATATTATACCCTTTTTAAGCAAAGGTCAAAGTTAGGATTATCGATTAAACCATTATATTTGGAACCCCTTCTGTTAATATGGAACTCTTCTCAGAAATAAGCATTTTCTGAGAGGGTTTTTAAAAATTTACTTATCCTACAAAATTTATGATGATTGCTTTACCATGGTATGCCATAAAATCCACTTAGATAGCCCCAATAGATCCAAGATTATTTGCCACAAGACTAATTGCAAAAATGCAGATAAATATCTTCGCCTTGGATTCGCAATTTCATTATTCTGACCGCAATTGGATATTCAAATCCAAAACCTGATATACCCGTTTGGAGTTCGTTAACGTCCATAGGTGCATAGGTTAGGTGTAAGCGTCAATAACTGGAGCAGCGGAGCTTTCGAATCGGCTTCAGCTGCAGCAGGAGACCTTGGCTAAGTCCGAACCAGAGGTATGGACACAAGGCCGCGAATTATTGGGGCCTAGGCCTTTGATAATTTGCATAGTCATTGCTACTGGGCATTAGAATACCTCTTTATAGGGGGTCTAATTGAATTTAGAGAGCTTCGATCTTAATATGTGGCAATTAAAGAGTACCATTTCTATAGAGAAGTGTCGGGATAACAATCTGGTCATCACAGTTATCGCGGGTGATTCACTTGCCAAGCTGTCCAATCTGTTGCAACCAGCCAAGTACCCACATAATTGCGCTGGGAATCGGCCTGTGGAGTGGGTGGGAAAAGTTGGCCAACAGGCTGCGCTCCACCGGCAATTGCTGATCCATTGTTGCCCCGGCTGAATAATGAAACAAAAACCCCGAACCAAATCAAACGCTCTTTATGAGCGGCGGGAACTGCGCTTTACTTGACGTGTAATGTCTGTTATTTGGAGCAGAAACACTAATGGCCACTGAGCACACCGCTAACCCGCTTTCCACATCCCCATCCAATCCCCAGCTCCGCGACCCACCTTGGCCAACGGCTTCAACTTCTTTAATCCGAACTTCTGGAGCTTTGGCCAGCAGAGTCTGGTGGCAGTGCGTCCGCCACCCAAGCAGCCCCATCCACCTAAGAAGTTCACTCCCAAGGAGGAGAAGACCAGCCAACGAAAGCCATCCAAGACCACCAGGAAACCTGGAAATCCGAGAACTACTACAACGGTAGAAGCCGAAGTAGTACCTCCACAACAACAACTACCATAAAACCCACTACGGATGGACCTTTCGTATTGCCCTGCCTACCCTGAACTTTGCCAGCGATACTAAGAATAGGGAAAATGACAAGGAGAAGGGCAAGCGGGCGGCGGCAGAGCTCCGATTGAAATTCGATTGCCCGCGGGAGAATGAGGTGAGGTTCCAACTCTTCCCCAAGATTTGCAAGGCCGATCGGGACTGCGCCGTGTGGCAGCGGGATGAGCTGTGCTGCGACATCTTCGGAGCCAGCAGCTGTGTCTCCGGGGTTCCAAAGCCCCTGGAGGAGACGCCACATGCACGTGAGTAGATTGAATCTTTGGAGATTCTATTTAAGTTCTTAATCGATTTTATTTCCAGCCATCCTGGGTTTGATACCTCGCAAGTGTCCCAGTAGACCGCTGGCGGAACTCTGGTGGGATGTCCAGGAGTGCACGACGGATATGGACTGCTGGCCACGGGTCTGCTGTCCGGATGGCCGGAGAAGGTACTGCCGCACCTCGCAGCCGGAGCTTGAAACAGCTCCAGTGCCAGTAAGGCGCTCCTTTGACTACCGTAAGTATTGTGAAAAATTGGTATAAGAAAGTATATCTCTAGTAATCATATATTATATTATTTTTAAAAGAAACCATTAGTATTTAACTTAAGCAAATAAACCTGTAAATATTTATGTGATTAGCATGTTGTATGGTATAAAAATCCTACCAACCATATATGATATTTTTTTAAAGACTATCGTAAGTCCTGAGTATAAACCTATTTATTTACTGTATAAAGCAATAGAAAGCTGGTATGTTATGTAAGATATCCTATTAATTATATGATCGTATTTTAGGTAATTAGTAAGGAATAAGTTATAAACTCCCATCTTATAGTATTACCCTTCTAATCAACATAAACCCTGTTTTTTTCAGTTACGGAGTACCTGGAGTGCACCGCACCACCTCCGCCCATTTTCGACCTTCATCCCAAGGCGTGCACCTCCACTTTGGACTGTTTTCCCAATGTGTGCTGCCAGGAGGCGGGACTTCGGCACTGCCGCCGCCCAAGAAGTCCGTGCTCACACTGATGGCAAATTTCCTGAACGTGGACTTTGTGAAGCGACTGGCCCAGAATATCGTTATCAAGTAGGCCGCGAATTTCCCACTATTTTCTACCTTGTGTGTGCTGAGTGCTTCGAGCGCCTTCTATAAAACCTTTCGAAACTACCGTGATATCTCGCCCATATTTGTTTGGCCACGCTGATAACCAAAAAGAAGACAAGCCCACACATCTCTGTACATATTACATGCGTTTCATATACCTTTACTGCGCACTTTGTGTACCCCAATCGATTCCCCGTAATCCTCCATTAATGTTCACCTAGCCTAGTATTAGACGTAAGCGCATTCATAGGCTAACAAAGTAAATGCGAACTATAAACTCTGAATGAGGGTTTTTCACTTGGAGGTCTCGGGGTGTGGTGCCATCTAAAGTCAAGGCTGTGGAGTCTCTCGTAACTTTACCCATAGGTCATATGTGGGTTCTTGTTCTTGACTTACTTCGTTGACATTATGTTCATATTAAGGTTCTTGCACTTTCATTTGAATTGCCCGACCACTTTACAACTTTATGAATACGTTTACTTGGGGACTTTAAAGCTATAAAGATTTCAGACGATGTTTAGCACGCAAAACCGACTGAAAAATAAAACTGCCTACAATCATTTATTTTTATGAATCATTTTTAGAGGGCTTAATAGATGTATGAACATGAAACATTATTAGTCATTAATAATGATATATGTAAAAATATTATCAAAAAGTTCTCTAAAAAGGCAAATATTTTTAAAAAATATATAAAAAAAATATTCGACCTAACGATACGTAGTAGTAGCTCGCTCTCTTTTTCTGACTACGACTGTATCGTATCTACAAGTCATAAGTTCAAACCGCTGTGCTTTGCAATTCAATTCCCATTCTCAGTCACTTGGACCACAGAAAATAGAAGAGAAGCGTTTCAGATTACCATATTGCTCAACTGATTTAATTTAACCATTGCACATGTGGAAAACACTTGACCATCCGATTTCCACGACGCATATCGCAGAGCACGTACTCCAATAAAAGAGAATCTAACCTAGAAAGACCCAGACCAACTTATTACGCAATTTGAAAAGACGCAGCTTAGGTTTCAATTACTTTAATTGGACATTGTGTATGTGGGAAAATGAGAAAAACATTGTTTTTTGTATGCGAAAATTTAAAGAAATCAGTTCGGAGATAAGGGATCGCCGTTCTCTCCAGATCTTCTCGGGGAAGTTTACTTGGAGCAGCCGCAGGCGGATTTCTTGTTGTCGCCGCACTTGCAGTCAGTTCCGCAGTTGCAGGAACCCTTGGTGCCTGGGAGGAGCATTTGCATCCTGGAAAAAAGGAGAAACAAAGAATTAATCTACTGAAGAATAACCAGGATAAATTTATTTTAAGCTCTTCCATCTATAGCTTCGGGATAAAGATTTATTTAAAGGATCATAATCTTTAAGAAGTTTATTTTTTTAATAGTTAAAAAAAAAACTCTTTTTCTGGAAGGTCTGAATTTTACTCCATTTAGAATTTAAACTTACCGCTTCCGCATGGGCAAGGCATCTTGAATTGTTTGGGTTTTCTTCGACTTTTCACTTCACAAAAGGTAGAGATGGGCTAATTAGGCCTTTGAGTGCACTGAGATGATTCACTTGATTTTGCTGCTGACCACAACTGATGCACATTGGCCAGATGCTCTCGGTTTTATACACTTCGGAAACGCGGCTTTACACACGGGTCTTTCAATACAATTCTTTTGCACACGCCGGCCGGCTTCGAATGTGTAGAGACGTGTGCAGAAGCTTTCTTCTCGGGGTCTAGAAGGTTCGATTCTCCGCTTTGGGTTCGGGCACTACGGTAAGCTTTTTCGACTGGGGGATGCGCAGGCGTGGTAATACTTTTGCGTGGGGGCTGTGGGCGGGCGGGTCTCTTATCGGAACCAGAGGATAGGATAGGACGGCCTGCAGCAGAGAGCTAGTCACAACGGGCACCAGATCCTGTCCTGCAACGAATCCCAGTGCAACGAAATGCAAGTAAATACTGCGACGCAATAGGGAAATCCCCAAGTCCTGCGGGAAAAGCCCCATTCACGGGGATTCATTGGATTCGGTGGCCAAGTTTTTCCGACCTTTCGCGTGTGTGGGTGGCAAGTGCAGTGCAGATAAAATCGATAAATCCAAGCCAAAATAAAGCGAGGAAAATCCAACAGCAAAGAGCGTGAGGTGTACAAGGTGGAAAAACAGAAAGAGTGTGAAAAACAGTGCGAGAAAACAAAGCGGCGGAAAATCGGAAGGCGGGTCCTACCAAGGGGGCGTGGTGCCGAAGGTGTAAAGGTCCACCAGGACAATCAAGCGGAAGTGAGCAGTTACGACCAGTGTGTGTGCGTGTGTGGGCGGATGGGCAGGAAATCCCTTTAGAACGGGACACTCTTCTCCACTCTGTAGGGCCTTCAAAGCAGGCCTATTTATACCCCTCGGCTCATCCGTGTGCAATCATAATCGCAGTGATAATGATGAGGAGAGGCTGATGCCGATGCCGATCTGCCAGTCGACCAAAAAATCAATACCCTTCCTTGGCACATGGTTAAAATTAGCGGCACACTCTCACGCATTGTTTCCCCTTTTTAAATACCCTTGCAGATGGGATACTACCTTTCCGGTCAGAAGTTTGTTAAAAATAATTTAGAATTCCAATCAGATCGGATGTTATATGATAGGAACATAAAGAAGTTGGTAAAATTAATAATTTCGATAATTTTTTAAGCATATCTATTCAATGTAGCCTTATACATTTGTTTTTAACATTTCGCGCAGGTTTATAAGCGGATAACAAAATAGGATAACTTTTTCCTAAGCTATCGATTGCTTAAATGTTTCATGATGTTAATTTTTTTTATTCATTTATTTTTTATGCATTAATTAAAAAACATTACTTCCTTAAGCTGCCATCCTATATTTAGTTGTTATAAGAATACCAGTGGACTATATCATATCAGGTGCAATATGGCCATAGAAAGGGTATTTATAGATCGACATTTAGAAGTTAATATCTTTTCTTGTTTCGGGACCCTAAAGCAGTGCCACCCACATCCACCCCCATCCACACCCACTCGCTACCCACAACCGACCCGTAAAGGTTGTGCGTGCGTGGGCGTTGTGGCCAAGCTGATTTGCTCTTAATCGTTGCAGATAAACGAAAGCATGGCGCCCAAGTAGAACATTCCACCAGCGCCCGACAGCAAGCCAACAAGCTCCAGCTCCTGTTTCTCTCTCAATCTATTTCCACTTCGAATCCGATAGACCCGACCGCGCATCCGGGATGACGGAGCAGAAGAACCAGGTGACGCGCGCTGCTCCGGAGCAGAGCAACGACTACCGGGTGGTGGTCTTCGGAGCCGGCGGCGTGGGCAAGAGTTCGCTGGTGCTGCGCTTCATTAAGGGCACCTTCCGCGAGAGCTACATCCCGACCATTGAGGACACCTACAGACAGGTGAGTGTCCAGCTAGGTGCCTTTTCAGCGAATCCTCTTAAACCATCGACATGCCACAGGTCATCAGCTGCAACAAGAACATCTGCACGCTGCAAATCACGGACACCACGGGATCCCACCAGTTCCCGGCCATGCAGAGGCTGTCCATCTCGAAGGGGCACGCCTTTATCCTGGTCTACTCGGTGTGCTCCAAGCAAAGTTTGGAGGAGCTGCGACCCATCTGGGCGCTCATCAAGGAGCTGAAGGTACGTCTAGATCACAAATATATTTCTAACCCACATCTATGCTAACACTTTGTATTTTCGCAGGGAGCCGACATCCCGAACATCCCGTCATGTTGGTGGGCAACAAGTGTGATGAGACCGCCGAGTTGCGTGAGGTTAGAAACATTAGTCCATATTATCTATCAGAATATTTTAGGATGATGTAACAAAAATTGTTTTTACTAGGATTCAATCGATTCCAATATTTGAAACTAACAAAGATACTCTCATTCAAAAAATCTTTCTATTATAATTCGATGCCCTTATAAAGTTATATCTTATTCTGATACATACCAGTTTTTAATTGCCTTTTGAATGTTTAATAATTATAAATTATAATTACCATATCTATACATTAAAAATAGATAACTATTCTATTAATAACTAGATCTGTCTTAAACTCCTTTATGGAGATCTCTCAAAAGATGGAGATGATGAAACTTGGATGGGTGCCTGAAATCATTTTAACTAGCAATCTGTAAAGCTTGATTTACTAATATTTAAAATTACCACTACCATCCTTAAATATCTTTTTATAAAATTCTGATCCAGATGATTTTTTTTTAAAATGGCGTTTGTTAAATTTAACAGATCTCAAATATTTAAACTTGAACTATAGATCAACTCTGACATGTCATCTGTAGGGTCTAGTAACTAGAAGAAACCCTTCCTGACGTAGACTCCTCTTCTGCAGGTCTCCCAAGCAGAGGGTCAGGCGCAGGCCACCACCTGGAGCATATCCTTCATGGAGACGTCGGCCAAGACGAACCACAACGTGACCGAGCTGTTCCAGGAGCTGCTCAACATGGAGAAGACGCGCACCGTCTCCCTGCAACTGGACACCAAGAAGCAGAAGAAGCAGAAGAAGGAGAAGAAGTCCAAGGACACGAACGGCTCGATTCCGGAGAACGGCGATGCGGGGGCCAGTGCCAGCGGCGGGGCCAAGGAGAAGTGTCGCGTTATGTAAGCATCGGATGGCGAGATGGCAAAGGCATGTGACCCGGGTCAGATTGCGCCGAGCTGAAGTGAACGGAGACGGTGACAGACAAATACTCGCCTTGGGGCAGCAGCGTGGGGTGGGTGGCGGTTGGGGTCGCCTACGTGGCAGGTCAACCTCCCATCCACCCACACGGGCCACGCACCACACACACCCCACAAACCCACACATCCACTTACCCACATATAGAGTTACATCCATACGAGACACTTGTATTTAGGAACTGATGTAAGTCACACCGCGATTGCAATTACGATTACGAGTATATTTTGCATAGGCTCTATTCGAGCAGATCAGATCTTTCTAGTCGCACAGAGTACACGATACCAGATACGATACTACGATACTAAACACACCACGAAAGCTAACCCTAAGTTTACACATAATCGCATCTGAAACGTAACGGCATACATATCAAATGTTTACATACTTGCATGATCCACCACCCATTCATAACCAGGTATCAAACGAAGCTATACACTATATCTCTAACGAAAGCCAAAGTACCTACTTAAAGACATAGAATCTGTATCTACTACGATATGATGATAACAATATTTACATGGATCCATCAACGGAAGACTTCTCCATGGTCGCCACAGAGACCATCGCGGGGCATCGGCGTCTGGATCTGGGCACGCGGACCGGTGCCTCCCCTGACTATCATTGCTGTTTAACTATTTACCACCTAACCAGAATAATACAGATTTTTCGACGAGCCCCGATTCGCCACATAAGCTAATGTATAAAATACTCATGGCCAACAACACACACAGTTCGGATCCGGATTCCGCATTCCGTATTCCGGAAAACATGATGGCATTGTGTTTTTGTATTATATTAAATGTGTATGTACAATTTTACACTTATTTGCTGAAGTTTATTGACGAGACGAGAGCAAGAGCATTTTAATATGTAGCAGCAAATCGAAAACCAAAAAAAACCGATAAGATCAGATCAGAGAGTTAGCCTAAGTCAGAATCAGAATCAGACGTTCAAGTACAACTGCATTCACTACTATACCATTCATCAAGTGAGCCGAGGAACACGTACATCGAAGGATATTTGAAGAGCATTTGGTGCATTTTTGCAGTAGCGTAGATGGGATATAAGTTGCCTGTTTTTAAAACACCTATGTATCGTACTTACGTATAACTTAACATAAACCGTTCCCAATTGTGGTATTCGTTATTTTAATAGTTGGTTGGCTTGTGCGTAGGCGTAGGCGTAGGAGTTGAACAAATTGTTTCGCATAGTTTGCTGTTGTTTGATATTAAGAGGATTAGTTTTTTAAATTTTACCAATCAGACTAAGTAAAGGATATGCTTTAACCGCTGCTAACCAATTAGCCAAACGAGTGGCAAGTAATTACATTAATTATGATGTTGCTCATCAAAAACTGGTATCTTTGGCTGCTGGTCCGCCGTCCAGCAGTGCCGGACAAATAAGTAGAACAGAACCGAACAGCCAACACAAATCAAGAAGTGGAAGTTCCCCAGTTACACACTAGATCTAAAATAAATTGTTGAATTCGAGTAGAGAAATTATTAATCAAGATTATGATAGCGGACCAATTTGCGTATAAGATTTGTGAAATCAATTTAGATAAATTCTCTCGGTTTGCCATAGCCATGGATACGATTACGATATGCCAGCCTTAGTTGAGAGTTCTAGGTAGCCTGCCTGTGCTTTGCGTTCTGCTTCGTGTTTTCCTAGTTTTAGGTACGTTTAATTATAGACAGCAAACTGGGTTTTGGCTACATTCAGCATGTGCCGTGTAATGGATTGCATTTTCCATACAGTACATTTCACTAATGCGTAAACTTACTTAGTTGCATAAAGAGTATAATAACGATGAATTGTAATTAAAGCATAATACATTTTAGGTGCATGATTTAAAATACAACGAATAAATATATTTACACCGAAATTCTTTTCTAATTTTTTCTT